GGGTATCACTGGGCTTGCTTTTAGCTGGGTATCACTGGGCTTGCTTTTAGCTGGGTATCACTGGGCTTGCTTTTAGCTGGGTGTTGTAAGTGTTGTTTGATTGCAGCGTTTCTTTTCAATCAAGAAGTAACTTTCAGTATATTGATTTGCAAATAACTGAATTATACATAGCGTATATTCAGAAGCATGTTATGTAATTAACTTAGTTCTCACTTGTCTTAATTCACTTTTTAGGCAAGGGCTGCTGCAAAGTTTCTCTAACTGCTTCATATTCACCTTATTTATAGTATAATCTTTCTGAAATCCAGGGTTCAGTTAGCTTTTCTAGTAACATATGCAAGCAGGAAATATTGTTATCCATGGAAGACACAAAATCAAGTCATCATAAAATTTTAATAGTCTCCATTGCTATTAATAACTCTAGATGTTTTGAAGAGATTTCTCTCAACAATATGTCTTCATACATGAAAGAGGAATTTGGAAAGCAGTCTTTAAATGAGAACCACAGGAGTAAATGAAGGTTTCCACTCTCTATGCAATCAGAATTCAAAGAGAAAACAATTACAGTCTACATCACTAAGACTACAGCAGAGATTAATCCAGAATTAAGAAAATGACAAGTAATCTCCACAATTAAAACTCCCAAATAACTGAGAAAACAGAAGCCAATGATCCTCTCCACCTGCCTTAGAGTATGAAGGATTTGGAAAAAAAAAAAAGAAAAACAAAAGACAGAGGGTCAAAGTTTAAGATATTTAAATTGGGTCTAGCAAAGCACCACACAAAATACAACATTTATTTACTAACCTCAATTTACCTACGGCGTTATTAAGCAAATTCATTCATAAATATTCAGGCAGTAGCCTGAAATGTCATAATTATAGAACAGCACAAAGACTGAATCTGAAGAACTTTTAAAGATATTCAGATTTGGGTTCTGCTTTGAAACTGCTTGGAAACGTTATAACGGTGGACAGTACTTTCCACACACATTTTACACATGAAAAGATCAAAAGACACCAGAAATTTCAGGCAGAAAAGCAGAGAATTCAGAGGGCAATAGCTACTCTTCTAACTCACAAGTGACCTCTTGGGTCAGGAAAAAAAAATCCATTAGTTTTAATGAAAAAATATTTAGGCAAATAAAACCCTGTCCCTAATACTGTAATTTCTGCCTTTGTTCAAATAATAAATTTACTTTTTAAACTCAGCTTTACAGTCAGGTTTTTCTCTCCGTTCAAGCCTTACTCTGAAGTTCAACTTTGCTTAAACACAAGCAACTCTCCTGCTGCTTTACTGCTGCACGCATCAGACTGACATCCCTCGATCCACTTCCCATGCCATTCCCACCGTTTAAAAGAGAATAAGCTGTTGCCCTGCCAATGACTTGCGCTGCGCCAGGGGGCTATTTTTCCATTTGCAGACTACGAGAGCGGGAAACACCTGGGATTTATGGAGATCCTGGGGTCTCTACCTGCGCGGGGGCAGGAGCTGGGGGGGGGATGGGGGGAAGCGGCCGTTGGGGCTCAGCGAGGAGGAAGAGGCCGCGAGGGGCGGCCGTTGGGGCGGCCGTTGGGTGGCCGTTGGGGCGGCCGTTGAGGCGGCTGCTGGGGCGGCAGTTGGGTGGCCGTTGGGTGGCCGCTGGGGTGGCCGTTGGGTGGCCGTTGGGGCGGCCGTTGGGTGGCCGTTGGGGCGGCCGTTACCTAGCTTCTGTCCCAGGAAGGTCATGCTGTGGTAGGCCTTCTCGGCGGCGGCCAGGTGCGCCAGGGCCGCCAGCAGCGCGAGCCAGCTGGCGCCCGCGCTCTTGTTGGCCTCGCGCTCCTTCTCCACGTTGTCCTTGGCCTTGTCGTACGAGAAGATGCCCAGGTGGGAGAAGAAGGTCTCCAGCACGGCCTGCTCCACCGGCACGGGCGCGCCCAGCGGGATCGACTCCCCCATCCCGCCCGGCGGCGGCGGCGGCCGCTCCGCCCCCCTCCCGGCCGCCGCTTCCGGGTGCGACGCCGCGGCCACGTGAGGGAAGCGGCTCGCGCCGCGGCGCCCGTGTCACGTGACCAGAGGGGGGCTGAGCGGCAGGGGGCGGGTCTTTGGGCTACGTCAGACGCGGGGCGGGGCGGTGCGTTCCTCCTCCCCCCCATGGGGCGGTGCGCGCCGGTCACGTGGCGGGGCCGTTAAGGGCCGTTAAGGGCCGTTAACGGCGCCGCCTCGGTTGCTGTTGCGGGAAGGGGAATAGTTGGGGTTTATGTGGCGCTGTCTTCCGTGTAGATAGACGGGAGACAGGCCTGGGTCGGTGTTCACCCCACTCTGCTCGCCTGTTACACATTCATGTATTTTTTTTTTTAAGTGATAACTACTTAGTGTGGAAGATCACATATCAGGATGTCATTTCCATAGGTGTTTATGCAGTTCTCCAGTTACACTGAGATAGACCAAATGAAGAGATAATATACAGGAAATAAGACCTTGGTATCCTACGTTCCAGTAGAATTCTTAAAAATGGTAATTCTGTTATATAGCTGTTTTTTGTCTTCCTCAATTAGGAACTTATTTTTTGTGGTTAGCATGCTAGCTACCACATTATAGCTATAATTGAGTTAGAAGTGACTGAATTCTGAATTTATATTGTTGCGAAACTGAGGCATTGGAGAAAATGTGGGAGCACTGCCTGCTGCTAAGTAACAGAGACTGAATTAAAACAAGTCAGAGCTAGAAGAACATTTTGTTAAACTGGGCAAAATCCTGCATATTTGTCCAAGTCAGACGGAAGAAAAGTTTGCATTTGAGAATTTGCACTATTTCTTGATGATTCTGTGTTTATGTTCAGAATTACTCGGCTGACAAATATTTTGTAAAGTTCTTATTCAATAATAATTATTGAGTGATAATTCAATCAATATTGAATATTGAATTGATAATGCTTGAGTTTTTAAGAGTTTTAGGAGCGAGTACTCTCACAGTGCTTTTCTCAAGAAAATCTTGACACCCAGAGTCCTAAAGGCCATAATGCAAATGATCAAAGCTTTACTTATATAACCATTTATTTGTGCACTGGCCCAGTTCATGTTTTAATTTTTAGGAGGTAAAAATTAGCGCTGGTTCCTTTTACGAGCTGTCCACTTTTAAAAACTTCATATTTTTTCCAAACCAAATTTCACACTAACATGCTTTTTCCCAAACTCTTTTAATATTCCACAAATATAAGAGCTTGTAGGTAACCTTATTCTGACCAATCCTTGTTGGACTTGGTTTCACTCAGATCCTAGTGGGTACTTCCAGCTTGTCTAAATACTGTGTAGTTTATCATCCCTTGAGCTTTTGCAGCCATTTCAGACACGATGAATTGTTCAAATGAATCCTCTGTCATTTGGACAGGTCTAGTGCCCGAGCTCATTTACCATGGAAGTGAAGAGCACAGGGCAAAGCTGAGCAGAAATAGAGGCCAGGGAAGGGAGGAGCTTGCAGCAGCACTGATTGCTTCAGCTCTTGTGGATCAGCCCCCTAGACTACCCCTCTCTTACTTGCACTTCTCTGGTGTTGAGCTGCAACATCCCAGGAATACCAAAATTGCAGTGTGTCCCATTTCCTCTTTGACCACTGTCTCCCTGTGCTCCACTGCCATCTGCCTTTGAGCTGTTGCCTATACACAATATCACTTCAGCAGCTCCAGGCAAGACCCCACTGCTAATAAACGACATGCCTAGCAGCATCTTCTTCAGCAAGCCTAGCTTTTGTGTTTGTGACAGACACACACATTTTGGTACTGTATGCAGCCACATGCCACGTGTAACAGCTCACATTTTTTCCCTCTCTGCCCTGGAAGATCCATATATTGTGGCAACTCATTCTGATTAACTCAATTGTTGCCAACTATACTGTTTTCTGAACAGTTCTGTACAGGACTAGATAGCCTTGTTGCACAGCCTTATCACCTAGAAAAGAACTGATCAATTAGGAAATACTTCTATTCAAGCAGTAGTGACATCAAGAGCTGGACAAGTGTCATTCAAGTATTCATGAATGCTTGTTTTAAAGCATACTATGAATGAATTTTCTAAAACATGCTATTATATTTTCAACATGTTGGAAGCCTTCCAAATTTTATTAACAGTTCAAAAGCCTGTCTTTTCTGAAGCTAAATGCTCAAAGTGAAGAGCAGACCAACATGAATCCAAAGCAAAAGCTGTAGGAAAGAATCAGAACCACCCTTTTCACCTGAAACAGCTTAGCCACATCGTGTGACAGTTTTCAGACTGCAGCATCACATGTAAGCATGGCAGTCTAAATGCTGGGTTCATCTGCAAAACTTCTATTGGACCAACTAAACTGAGAAAGTCTGACGTGCCTCTTCTCACTTCCTATGTAGCAGGAGGTATCCATCTTTGTCTATGTATTTAAGTTCATTTAGAACAACATGCAGCCTCAGCATGTAACTTGGGGGAGAAGGAAGAAGGGAATTTTTAGGCACCGGTGGCACAAGTCCCAAAAGAAAACTGAGAGTCAAAGGTTCAGATAAGACCTTTATTACAGCACAGAGTTGACAGCACGTTTTTGTACTTAGAAGAATGTATTTGGTCTCTTGGTAGTGAAACGTGGTTTGTGCTGGCGACGCAGAACTCTGTGTGGCAGAGGGAACTTGATTTTGGAATCCTGTAAGACAGAAAAAGTTTCTCCATTAGCTGATGAACAGATGCCTAACAGAAAATAATGTGCAGCAAATGGGTAAGCTGTACTCCACAGTTAACTTCTATAGAAGTAATGCATCCACAGATTAGACAAACTTTATACTAACTAAAACCAGATGCATTAATTGTATAATTATTATTGAAATACCTGTGAAAGGCAACCACGGTGTAACTGAAGGTATACTTTTTCACCTTTGCTTTCTCTCAAGTAGTTTACTACTAAAAATCTTGAGCATGATATAAATTTTTTTAAAATTATACATGCAAATTTGGTTCCTCTCCTACTTTCGTCAGCAAAGCAAATATGGACCAAGGAAGAGGGCTCCCCTTCCACTCCGCAGGGCTGAGATCGACCAGCTGCTGCCATTCTGCCTCACTTACATGGAACTGCTTGACTGCTGGTCTGCGGCACTTGCTAGCAGCAATCTCCTCAACTTTCATGATCTGAATAGAGTGAGCACGGGCACGGTGACGGGCTCCCATATCACGGTCTGCAAAAAGAGAACTCATTAAAACTAAATCCTAGAATAACTTAAAAGACATTTTCAGTTTGAAATCTCAATATCATCTTTTTGGTAAGTGTTTGGAAAGCTGTGCCCCGCTTTTTCTCAGGCAGCTCTGCATAGTAGATATAGTAGCTGCAGAAGCACTAACCAGAAAACCAACATACAATAAGAGCTTTTTCTTTGAACTCATAACCAAGCATCTTCTTCCTTGATCTCAAAACAAATATAATTACAGAAAAAAATATGAACTGAACAGCAATAAGCATTCCCTTCTCCTACCAAGAGAAGGATGCAAGGCTGAGCTATTTGAATACTCTGCTTTGAATACTTACCACGAAGATGCAAAATACCCATTAAAAATCTATCCTTCAAAAATTCTCTGGAGCATAAAGATATCAAAGCCATTATGTAACGACAAATGAAGTCCTTAGACCTCCTAAGGACTCCTTCAGTATGTCTATTAACTATACTATTCAGTATGTCTTCAGTATGTCTATTAGTATTTATTATAGCTACATGTAGGACCTTAAGTTTCACTTTCAGCAGCACTTCAGCTGCTGAAAGGCGACAAGATACATTTAATATCTGCACACATGACAAGAACATCATTACTAGGAACAACATTCTTTGGGTTTTTGTGTGCACTCTGCAGCCTTTTGAATACACGTGGTTTATAGCTCTCAACTCCTTTAGATAACAAGACTGAAATCAGGACACGTGATATTCTCTGAATGAGACTATGAGGTCTTTCAGCAGTGTAAATTACAGGAAAAACAAAATGTTTAGGAAATCAATTTTCCTAACTGAGGTCTCCATAGGACAGATTCTAGTATGTCCCACATAGCATCAGCAACATTCTTTCCAAAAGACCTAGAAAGATATTTTCAGTTGTTTTAACAGTAAACACAGTATAAAAATATATACAGCACCTAAAGATCATGAAACTCACCTATATAGCAAAACTGATTACTAGAACTATAAGTTATACCAAGACAAAGTCGGAGTATTTTCAGTCAGAGAAACTGTCCAAGGAACCTCACTGAGCAAAACACCACATACATTATACATACACATGCATGGGCCTTTCGAACAGCTTCCCGCGTTATTTTTCTCATGCTTAAGCCATCTTACCATGTATCAAGCTACCTAAACTTTATGTTCATTTTAGCATGTAAACTTCTGTCTATTTAGCAGTCACGCCATTTTATCTCAAACGGTTATAATTACTTACAGCACTGAGTGACAGCACCAGCAGTGGTCAAATCCCTGTACTCCCTGTACATGTTGTGAGTTCCACTACGAGAATCATAGCGTAGCCAAATACCAAAATTTTTTACCCTCAGAGGGGACTTCTCATACACCTGGAATTACACAAGTGCACAAAAATTGTTAAGAGACAATATATATCATCAGCATTTTACAAATTTAAGAATAAATGTTACAGGACTAGTGAAAGCAATACAGATATTCTACTCTCCAAGACAGCAGTCTTCCTGTATAATTACAACTATGGTAAAGTGTCTGATAATTCAATATGGAAATAGAAGTAGTTTTAGATTTCAACTCTTAAACACTTTCGGAAAATATGGATGAATGGACTTCTATCAGCAACTTGTGAAAGGAGAAGCATGCAAATATCTCTTTTCCAAGAATTATGAAGATGGTCCAGATGTTTTCCAAGGGGTATATCCCACAATGAAGCAAGAATAAACATATTAACTGTAAGGAGAGATTTAAATTGTAATTTTGAAGTGAAAGGGTTTTTTTAAGTCTTATTTGACATATGCAAACGAGGCGAGGAAGAACCCTACAGCAGCAACAGGAGAACATTTGAGTTCAGCAGTAGTTTACACAAACGCAAAGGGCCGGGGAAGCCCCGCGAGGCGCCCGGGCCCTCGCCGCACCTGCCCGCAGTAGACGATCTCCCCGGACGACTTCTTCATCTTCTTCAGCTGCGACACGAAGTACCAGAAGCGGGACTTGGCCACGACGTGGTTGGGCGCGAAGATGCGCATGCGGTAGAGCGGCGGCGTGCGGCACTTGGGCGTGGGCAGGCAGCGCCCCACCACCTTGTACTCGCGCAGCTGCGGGCCGAGCGGCGCCGACGTGAGCGGCCCGCGCCGCCATCACCGCGGCGCCGCCGCCATGTTGCCCATCGCCTCCCGCCCTCCCTCCCTCCCTCCCTCCCCCGCCGCGGCCCCGCTCGAGCGCCGCGAGGGGCCTCCCTGCCCCGCTCGCCCGCGGCCCCGGCGGCCGCCCGGCCCGGCCGGGCCCGCGGCCGCCCGGCCCGCACTCACGGTGCCCGACGCCTTCATGGTGCGGCCTCCTCGGCGGCGCGCAGCGAAGGAAAGGGCCGGCGCGCGGCGGCGCCGCCTCACCCGCGCCTCCCGCCCGCCCCCTCTCCGCCCATTGGCTGCGGCCGCCGCGCCATTGGGCCGGGCACACGTCAGTTAGCGCAGTGTCAGGGCCGCCTGACATCACTTCCGGCGGCGTGGGGGCGGGGCGAAGCTGAGCGGCCCGCGTGGCCGGCGGGGTGGGGGCGGTTGGGATATCCCGTCTCCCGGTTGGGTTTTTTTTTGTTATTCCCTTCCGTGCTTGGAAAGCACTGTGACAGCAGCCCACCCTCCTGTGGCGAGGCAGGGTGTTCTGTAATGTCCGCTACTGCCCCTCTTTGCGTCCCTTTGCGCATTTAAGTTAAGCATTTAAGTCGCACTTTGCAAGCGCGCACGTTCTAAGTCACGCGGAAACAGCCACGAACTTCAAGCTGTCACAGCCGTTCGCAGGACAGAGGCCGTTGTATTGCGGGAGTCTTTATCAGCCGCCTTGCACTGCTCAGCAGAGAGGGGCACGTGCTGGCGCGGGACGACGCTGTTTTGCAGCCACGTGCGCGACAGCCTCGCAACCGTTAGGCTCTTCATCTTCAACAACTAGCTTATAGGGCACGTTTTAGGGGAAAATGAGGCCATGTACTTTTGCCGGGGGTGGGAGTGCAGCTGCCACGCTGCGCACCCGCTGGCCGCCATGGCGCTCCCAGCAGCCCCCGCGCTTCGGGCGGGGCGCGGGCGCCGCCGCCTTCCCGAGAGGCCCCACGGCGGGGGGCTCCGGCGGCCGAGGGGAGGCGAGTGCGCAGGCGCGCCGCGGGGCACGCCGGGAGTTGTAGTCGGACGGCGTGTCCCCCCTCTCCCCACGCCGCGCGGCGGCCGTTCCGCACGCGCGAGGGCGGCGCCTCCCCTCGGGCCTCCTCCTCCTCCTCCTCCTCCTCCTCCTCCCGCCGCCAGCCGAGGCGGCGCGGCCTGGCCCGCTCCGCTCCCTATGCTCGTGGCGGCCTCGGGGCTGCGGGGGCCGGAGCCGGCAGCGCCGCCGCCATGGCGGAGTGACCGGGAAGGTAACGGCGGGGCTGCGCGGCTGGGCGCGGTGACGCAGCGCGGCCGCGGCGGCCGTTGCGCCGGTGGCGAAGCCGCGCGCCCCTCGCCCCCGCGGGGGGCGGCCCGGCCGGTGCCGGCTGCGGGGCCGGTGCCTGTCGAGCCGCCCTGGCCGCCGCCCGGCCGCGCCGAGGGCCCCGCGCTGCCCGCGGGCCTGCCGCGTCACGCAGCGCTCCCGGGCCGCCGGGGACGGAGGGAGGGAGGGAGAGCGCTCGGAGCCGCCAGCCCGTGTGTGAGCCGGCAGCGGCCCGCTGTTGGCCCTGCCCGCAGCGAGGCACCGGGCAGCCCGCGGCCCCTGCGCTGGGCAGCCGCGTGGCGCTGCCCCGGCCCCGCGGCGTGCGGGGCTCCCCGCGCGGGGCTGCGTGGCGGGCGGGCCGCGGGATGCGCGGGGAGCCCCGGGACAGTCCCCGGAGCGGCGGGAAGGCCCCGGCCCCGCGGAGCCGTTCTGGCGCCGGGAGCGTGGCCGACGTGGAGCCCCGGTCTGTCACTGCCCCGAGCAACAGCTAGGCCAGTGGCCTGGTGCGGGTTGGAAGTTAGAGAAGGAGCCAGCAGGGAGACGTTCATTCTGAGCGTGTGCTCTGTGTGCCAGACTACAAATTCCTAAGGGTCTGTAAATACGTTCAAGATTTCTGGCAAGCAAAATGAGAAGAATGCAGGGATGAGCTTTCCCTACGTTTATTTTATTAGAGATAAAGGAACTGAAGCATGTGGCTGGCTCCCTGTGTGCCATTACAATCTTGTGAATACCTAGGTGCTTTAAATGAGGTATTCTTTAATTGCTAATTGTTCTAGTGGTCCACATCTGTAGTCAAAATGCTGTGAGCGCCTGCCTTGTTAGGGCACGTCTGGACCCAAGTTGCATTCCTGTGACCACGGTAGTATTTTTACAGTAGTTGTCCTGCTTGCTTGAAGTGTGACCACAGCTTTTTTTTTTTTTTTTTTTTTTTTTTTTTATATGAAAAAAACTCTCAGCCATTTCAAATATTTAACACTTGAAGAAGAATAGACTGTCTTGGAGAGAGGAATATAAACCTACAGGCCCACGCTGTAAAGGGGTGAGCTCTCCTAATTGTAGTAAGATGCCATTGCCCCTGAACATAGTGTACTAGTTGGAAAAAAAACAAACAATTCAGCATAAATAAGACTTAATACTTCCCATACAGCTACATATTAACTCTTAATGTTACAAAACGATACTTTTTTTAAATAGAGCTTGATTTAAAATGATTTGTTCTAGTATTTCAACTACCCTTCTGAGGTGGCTATTCCATTAACTATCTGCTGGTGTGGACTAGCCCGCTGAAACTCATGGTGGTCATCAAATTTTAAATGTGCTTATGTATCACATGTGAGGTATTTAGAGCTGGGTGCCCTTGTTAGCTAAGCATGTGAGGAGAAATACATCCCTGAGTTAGATTGTTAGAAAAATTTATCATCAGTCTGTAGAAAGCTAATATTTGGAGCAGAAATAAATATAATCAGGATATCACACTTGTATATGTTAGCAGTTTTACTCATAGAACTGTGGACCACACCCTAGCTGGAAGAAGCTGTCAAAAAAACCATTTTCCCCTCAGCGTTCTAACATTATTTTAATAATCTATCTGTTAGGGGAAGAGCCCAGAGCAGGGAGACTCAGGAAAGCAAGTTAAATCCCTGAAGGTGTTGACCCTGAGCACACTTGCTCTGCATTGCAAGGCAGCCTGTGGAGCTTGTTTGCCACGAATCGTTACTGTGTTCCCAAACAGGGAATTTTCTGGTTTCTACGCTGTCAAGACCTGCTTTCTTTTTCTAGTGGACTCGGTTCTACTTATGATACATTTTGTTACCATTTACTCTGTAATGACTCTTATAGAAATGCCTATGTGTCATCATATTAAGCGCTGGGCTTTCCTGTCCATGCTTGCTGTCAGTTGTCACAGTGCCCCTTTCTTGTAGTGGAGAAGGAGAGCACGTATGAGACGTGCAACGCTACGAAATCAGAAGCTCTACCTGTAGGCATGTGGGCAGTTTCAAACCACAGTTCTTTCTATTCCTTCTCTTCCTTGTGCCTATCATCTTCTCTTTCCCCACACGTCCTGTATTTTTAAGGAATAAGAACTTATTTCAGGTCTAACCAAGTTACCAAAACAGGTTTTTTTTTATTTTTTTTTAAACTCTTGCTGTTTAACAACAGCCGAGTGTTTGACAGAACCTCTTTATCCATTGCATTTAATGCAGAGCACTGCAGAATGGCCCGTGTAGCATCATAAGGTCCTAAGAACATTTGTCCTGCTTGACTGTTAGTTTTACACAGAATTTTATTTTAAAAAATTACTAGCAAATTAGCACCCATTATAATGAACCAGAGCACTTGGTGAACTGTGAAGTACATTGTGGTTAATTGCTGTGACACTTCTGTGTGTTCTTGTTATAGAAGAAGACCTGATAATTTTACTTCTCTAGGGGAAATACTTTATAAATGTATTTAAGAAACATCTAACAATATTTAAGCTGAGATGCTTATTTTTGCACTTGCTAGCCTTGTGAAATGGTAGACATGTGGATTCTTTTTAAATAGCTGTTTTGTGCTTATGTCACATCTTGCCAAAACTTTCTCTGTGTTCTTTAAATGTGAACTCAAGTCTTTGAGCTGAATAGCATACTTTGTGCTATTTCTCTGTTAGTTGCATTTTTTTTTTTTTTGAAGAAAGCTCAGAAACGTGAGGACTTTAGATTTGTTTATTTCCTTAAAACAGTCAATTTTCTAGATGAATTCTACTAGGGTGTTGAAATTTCTGATGTCCCTAGTAGAAGTACGTACATTGTTATCTTCATGGGATACTTATTATATGCTTGAGTTGTGTGCGAACTACTTTGGTGGTTGCTGTTACGTTTTTAGGTTCTTTTCTGATACCGAGCAAGTAAAGTTGTTTTTTTTTTTTCTGTATTTTCAGATGACTGTAGCTTCTCCTCTGGTGGAAGTGGGCAAGGCCGTTAAGAATAGGAAACAAAGAGTATAGCAACAAAGATGGATGAACAGGCACTTCTAGGGCTAAACCCAAATGCTGATGCAGACTTCAGACAAAGGGTATGTAATGAACTTCCCTAGCTCTTCAGCAACTGCGGATGCTGTTTTAGTAATTTAAAACAAAAAAAATTGGTATTTTCTTGATCACATATAGTTACTTAGTTAGCTGATACAAAGGGATTGTGGTGGTGTGTACTAAAATGGAAGTCACTTATGAAGTATGTGTGTAAACTGAAGGACATACGTCAGCATTTCTATGAAACTGTGCTTAGCCTATATAGAATTAATTTATCTGGGCTGCAACTTTCAGTCGTTTCAATTTGTTGTAGTTGTTGCTTAAACACTTCCATTAGATTCTTCCAGAATGAAAAATATCCACTGAAAACATAATTGCTTTCAGTTGCCCTTTTAATTCTTCGTCCTTTTAGGATTTGTCTACGTAGCATCAGTCTCTTTTAATGTAATATGTATTTTTAACTATAATGAAGCTTATATTAGCTAATATAAGCTAATATATTAGTAATAGCTAATATAAGTAATTTAAGAAAGTAATCATGGTATGCGAGTACTTGACAAAAAGGTAATAGATGCTTGTATGAGAAGGCATTAAAATTTCACAGCAATTTAAAGTGGAACCTTTTCTGCTTACTGTTCTTGGAATTGATTTTGAATGTCTGCAGGATGATCTCCAGAATCAATGCTAATATCCAAGAATGTGGCTTGATACATCCTGATGTTGAAAGGAGCCCGTTAAATGTGTGCTCTTTGTGGGTACTTACCATGTTTGGAAGGATGGCTATAGTTAATTTTTAATGTTTTGTTAATAGAATGCCATCATCAGATTTCAAGTTTGCAGATTTATTGACCTTTTAGCCATGCAGTCTGCATGCTTTTGAAATACTGTGTGATAAAAGGTGACTTAATATTT